TCTGCAGAGACAGAAACAGTTCTGCTCATTGATGGCAAGAATTCTGATTTTATAAGTGTTTTTACCCTTTGAAGTATCTGTGCAGTTACATATTTGCTGTTCTTTTCAGTTGAAAATTAGCTGCCGCTTTATACATATTGGGGATGTAATGTAATTTTTAAAAAATCTTGTAAATACTGTTGTGCCTCTGAATTTCCGTAATTTAAAAAAACCTACCTTTAAATATTTATATTTTCTCTGTGATTCCCTCGTCTGGTACGTTTTGTACATTTTAGAAGAGATACTGATCTCATACTTCCTTTCCTATGTACAGAAAAACCAACAGCGGTCTACTGGAAAAATATTGAGTTGTGTTACCAGCAATCCAGGTCAGTCAGGCTCCTATTTCCTGAGAATGAATGACAGTAAAATTACAAACACTGTATTTCAGATTCTGTGGCACTCGGTATTCTGTAACAAAATTTATAAAGTAAATAGGAAATATCATAAAAAAGTGATCGTCCTGCTTTAATACATTTTTCAGATACAAATCCTTACTTCAAATTCCACATAATTACATAATACTAGTTAAAATAATATAGAAATACATTCTAAAGTTTTATTAATATTTTACAGAAAAATTGTATGGGTTTTAAGTAGTATAAACAGTATGATTTTAGACACAATGATGTAAGAAACATTAAGATAGTGCCCTGTAAACTGACAGTATTTTAGTACTGGCCTGGAACTTCAAATAAGTTTAAGTAGTATGGCTTCTCCTTCCTTCCTGAAGTGTATAGGAGTTTTGTTTCTGACTCTGATGTCAGTACATGACGCACACTTAGTATGGGTTGTAGTATCAACATAGGAAAATTGAAAAATACAGTGGCAAAGTAAATTACAAAAAGAAAGCAAGATAAAGGAATGCAGCTAATAGAAAGGGTGGGTGTCATACCTGGGCCCCACTTTGCTGTCCTCTCTCAGTGGTGGTATGTATCTGTCTCTTTCTGAAGAGTGCATATGTCAGCTTGCAAGGCATTTGGGACATTAAACCATTTTGGAAGAATAACTGCATGAATATAAGCTGCAAAAAGTTTTCAGTGCTTTACAGGTTTTGCTTTGGTGGAAACGAGTGATCTGCACATAAGTTTGTGCAGCTCACAAACAGAGCCAGCCGTAAGCCATCTTCTGAAAATCCCCCAAATGCCCTGAACATTCTTCAGGTTCAGATTGCTGCTGTATTTTCGTGACCTGAGTAATGGGTGCCCTTGGAAGAAAAACTGTAGGAAATTGCGATGCTAAACATACTTTTGATAAAACTTGGAGTAGAAATAAAGCCTTTCACCAGAGCCTCAGGCTTGCATCTGAAGACTTCAGGAAAACATAACTTTGTAACTGAAGAGTAAATAAGTACCCAGCATTGACTTTATGGCTGAAGAGTAAATAGGTACCTAGCGTTGATTTTTTTTTAACTTTAGAGAATATTTTGGTTGCCCCAATAATAACATTGGTGAAGAGCTTGAAAAATGTCTGAGTTGGGAGCACTGGATATATTGTCTCATGCGTGGGCAGAAATCAGTATTTTACTATGCCTTTTTATTATGATTTACCGAGCTATTACACTTATTTATTGCATGTTATTTTCTAGGGCACCTCATGTCATTTATAAATGTACTCATTGTTTATAATCCTTGACACAGAAGTCTTTTTCCATTTCAGTATATCCCTTCATCTGTTCAGGTTATCTCTTGCTTAAGGTCTGTTCTGTTCAAAAGTATACAATATTTAGGAAATTTTTGTGGGCAGTGAGATGGAAAAAGAGCACCCTCTTCAGTTTCCATTTTTCAAGCCAGGAAGCAAAAGCCAAAGTCTACTTTCCCTGGTCAAAAAGGACCAGAGAGTATGAAATCTCTCTCATTTTGTACGCTGAGAGCTTTATTGAGTATCTCCTGGGCTCTAGTAATGTCCCTTCAGGAGCTGACTGCATAGCCGTGCATGCTGGACTATCACCTTAAAATTAAGATAGAGTTAAATGAAACCAGAAGCGATACTGTGGCTGCTCCGGTTAGTATAAGGGAATATGGAAAACTTACCTGTTTTATTGCTCCCAAAGATGACATATCCGAGAGAGTATCAGACATCCACAGATGAAGGCTGCATGAAAAATAGTTAAGGCACTAAATTGTAATTCTTGGGTTCTACCACTTGTTGAAACGAGCTTGTCAGTTTTGACTTAGAGCACCTGTCTGAGACTGAACCAACAGATATCCTCATTATTTTGCAGATTTGTCAGAAATATGTTGATGCATTTTTTTTTTCTAACCAGCTGTCCCAACTGAAAGCAATAAAAGCTACATTAAATAGTACATAGATGCAACAGAGATGTTTGTTTCTATTTTTCTTGCTTTAAGAGTAAAGAATGCAAGTTTATAGTTTTCAAACCATATTAAGCAAGAAGAATCTTCCAGTCATGGTAAAACATATTGCTGCATGCAGAGAACCTCGTGATAGCCATGCTTGAAAAATTTTCTGGTTAACAAACTGCAGTACATCAAAACATTCTCACCGGTTGTATTGATATTCAGCAGAGGTTGTGGTGGAGTGCAAGTAGGGACTTCATTACATACTATGCCAAGTTTGGTTGATGCCTTGCTGCAGGAACAGCTCAATGTTTCCATTTTGAGATTTATTGAGAAATTTAATAGGAAAAAAAGTGGGCTTTTGCCAGTTGCACCATGACATGGTAATTTTTCAAAAACTTTAAATAGTTCACTTTTTTTTTTTTTTTCCTTGGTGAGCCTTACTTATTAGTAGTGTCTTATGTCATCCCTTTTAATCTGGGTGATTTGGAAACAAGTTAAAATCTTTTCATCTACAAGGCAGCAGTTAAGCAGGACTTGGGCCAGTGTGTTCCAGAGACGGTGCCTGCTCTTGGGTGAATAACCAGTCTATAGGTGTGAGCTCTTCAGGCGGTAGATAAGAGGCTTCCAAACATGTTGTCTGAAGTACTCACCATGACCTTCTTTTCTGTAATATCTGACACTTTTATGTCACTATTTGGAAAAATTCTGACCCACGGTAAATTGAAGTGCAGGTGTTTTTTCTCTTCACTTTTGTTTTCATCAAATGTAAAAAGCACTCTGATCTTTGTAAGATTGCTCTTAATATGAGATATTCCGATCCCATAAAACTTCTGTTCTGTTTCTGTCATACAAATACCATATCAAAGTTGGATTGTGTGCATCTCTGCAGTACCCTGATCTCATTATGTCATTGATCTTGTCTGCAATTACGAATATTGGAAACATTTTTCTCCTTTGGAGTTTTGGGTAGTCATTTGCATCAGAGGACTTCCATGTGTCCTGGCCCTTTGCAGCTTTATGGTCAGCCAGGGGAGCCTCCTCTGACCCCTTTCCTGTTGCTCCACCAAGTTCTCCCTCCACTCAACACTCAGATCAGCTTACTCACTTCAGTGCTTTATGGTCTAGCAAAAAGCAAATCTCTAGCATACCTAAGGGGAGTATTTGACAGATGCTGTGGTCCTTCAGAAATGGGATGTTACGAGCCCGCCTACTAGTAGGTAATATTCTGGGTTTATTTTTGGCGGCACTTGGGTGGGTTCCAGTGGTGCCTTCAGCTCAAGGCCAGGCTGCCAAAGGTGTTGCACAGTTTAAAGCCGTGACATTTAAGTAGAACAGCAACATGCTCTTTATTTGTAGCATTTACTCTGCTTTTAAAGTTTAATGACTTGTTTTTACTTGGTGTGTGTGGCAGAAATCTCAAAATAATGTGTTAATATAGCTAGTGGGGAAATCAGTTTAATCGAGTCTTAATTTCAGTATATTGGTTAATCTTCAGTTATAGATACTTGACCTTTTGAAGAAGAAACTTTAATACAACTCACGACTTCCATGATGATGAACTAAAGATGGGGTTTCTTGGTTTTTTGCTTTGTTTTGTTTTTTCATAATAAGAGTCACATTTTAACTCAGGAGGAATAACTGGTTTTCATGGTTGCGCAAGTGCTCACTGGTTACTGTAGTGGCTGCTTATGTGTAAAAGTAAAACTCAAATTTTATTTATATATACGTGTGTGTGTCTGTATTTAATGCTGTTTACAACTTGAAAATAAGACATTCCAGTACCTAATAAGTGTATTTATATCTACCATTCATGCTAATAATATGCTGGTCTAATATGTCACTCTTCACCTAGATGCTCTGGAAAGTAGGCTAGCTTTTATTTAATTTCAGGGTTTTTTCTAAATACTGATACTGAAAATTTCAAGGGAAATTTTGTAATGAAACTTTAGCAGACTTTTCATCCTGAGTCTCAACCAGCATTAGTTTTTAGTGGGGATTTAGCAATAAACGTGATTTTTCTCTACTCTCAGCACAAAACCTGAGGTTAATTTTGCTGTGAAGTATCTTTAGGTCTTAATCAAAGCTGAAGTTACTCATCCTGGTAAGAGTGCCCAGACAGACAATGCCTACATACCCTACTCTATTAAATTCTCAGGTATTTAGAAGGATATACTGCATGTAGTACTTTTAACTTAAAGTCGATGCTGTATATATGCAGTAGTTTAAGTTACTAAACAATTGCACTGCAAAAGGAAGAGTTAGAATTGGAGAGTGCTGTGTTAAATGCAGGGAGAACAGGTAAAGCATGAGAATGTTTTCTCATGCTCAGTGTTTTTTGTAATGTCTTTAAACGTGATATCATACAGTGAAACACTGGTACAGTGATATGTCTAATGGAACTATTAATGAGCTAAAAGACTGGCTTGTTGCAAGAAGCAATGTGAAAAGCCTGAGCAGAACTGGACTGAAGTAATTCAAGGTCCTGTAGTGAAGTCATGGAAGGCTGCTGAAGCATGGTTTCTTACACAGATATTAAGTGCATTTTAAATTAATTATCTTCTCTTGATAACAGCATATCTACTACCTGTTATATTTTATTAGCATTGCCTTATAGATGCTCATGGTTATTTTCTGTATTTCTCTTCCCCCCCAACTTAGTGGAATCGGTCGAAATTGGCCATGGGCCTCTGGAGGCAGCAGCATTTTGGCAGAATTTGGGACTTTGCATCTGGAGTTCGTACACTTGAGCCATCTGTCGGGAAACCCTGTCTTTGCTGAAAAGGTTAGACTGTTCAGTCAAAATCACATTGTAAAAGATAAATCATGTGTTGGGAGACTCATATCTCTGGGGAGGGATTTGGATTTTCCTCAGGTGTAAGTATTTCTCACAGGAGATAGATATTTTCTAGATATTTCCTTAAGCACCTTTGCATGGTTTTGTATTATAAAGTCAAAATTCTGTTCCAAATCATTGTGATGCATCTTCTTGTATATAGCACTTACCCAGCCCCATAAAACATATAATTTCTGTTTATGTTCTAAATTAGTTAAATTAATTAAACAATCAGACCATAGAGCTTTCTTCAGTACTTCACCTGAATGTGGTGAGAACAAAAATTGACATTAAATTGGGGATAACATGTGATACCTATAGAAAGCAAAGCACCATGGCTACCATGTATGATTTCAGCAAGTTTAGTCTTCAGAATGCTATATAATGTCAGAGAGGTCAGAAGGACTTCCATGGCACTGACCTTTAGGAAATGGGCTTTGAACTTTCTTTGGGGTAAGGAAAAAAAAAAATCCTTTGACAAAACAGTTGTTGTGCTTACTAATTCTTCCAAAATTTGATAACATTGTCTGCTGGATACTTTTTATTTACATGAGCCATGGAAAGCAAATCCTCTTCTCCTTCCCTCAGTTCCAACCTAAGCAAATTTACTTTGCTTTTTGGTGTGTAAATAGTCAGCGAGTCTTGCTCTTTATAATACACCGTACCATTTATCTTTTTTTTTTTTTTTTCCTAATTAAAACTTCCACTTGTTTTGGTTTTGTATTCTTACTGCAACTGCCCCATGTTAGCTAAAATAGATATTATCTAACCAGTAATCTAATTAATAATGAGACTCCAAGTGTTTAGCAGTAGGTTTAAAAGCAGTGGTCAAATATAAAATGAATATTAGTTGTACTAGATTTAAAGGACTGAATGACTTTGCTTCAATACCATTGTCAGCACTGGAATAAATTTTGTGAAACAAACTCCTAGCAATTTTTATGTATTTAGGGGTGAATTTAGAGACGGAGTTTCTCTTAAACAAATCTGAACTGGAGGGAGGGAACCCAGGAACAGCCAGAAACAAACTTACTAGATAACTTAATTATCTTTTGACATTTATGGTAATTTAATGTATAACATCTGTTCTACTAAGAGACAATTAAAGTGTGATAAAAGTACGTGTGTTAAAAACCGTAGCCTGTGGTTCTCTTGCAAAGTGGCATCAAGCTATAGCTGCAAGATGCTGGAAGCCTTTTTATGTAAGCTGCTCTTAAAACCCTTTAGAGATTGCGATTCTACCGTGCTCAGAGGCAAGCCATGCCAGGGCTGGCATGCTTGATAAAGAAGAAACACTGGAATGTGCTTTGCCTGGAAGTATTCATAGAAGAATTCATTAAAGGAGGCCTAGGACTCGCTGCAGTCTGCATTTGGGCAATGACTGTTAGCAATGTAGTGTCAAGATGCAGAAGGCAGTTTGTGTACCACAGCAGAAATGCTTCTGCGGCATGGTGTAAGGTAATTTATCTTCTTTCTCAGCTGCTAGTTCACTTGATCTCCAGGCATTCAGGGTGGTACAATGAAGCTGTCAGTACCTTTTTGTTAGGTCTGTGGCGCTCAGCGTCTTCATTCTCCCACGTCGCTACATTTGCTTTTTCTGCGAGTGTTAAAATTCAGGATAAGTTATTTTCATGTGCCCTGCAACCGGTTGTGCTGCTGGATGGCTCCAGCTGCAGAGCATCTGGATTGTAATTGTTTCCCCAGGCCTCTCATTTGCAGCGAGCTCCTTAGCAGTGCCGGCAGAGCGCTCGGGGCTGCGTGGGGTCCTGCTGGGCAAGCTGGCTCTGGGAAGCTCCGCTCCAGCGGCGCTCTCCTTCCTGGGAAAAACCGCTTTACAGCTCACTTCTGCATCTCAACTAGGTGATAGGCTTAATATTTAATACCATTTCTGATTTGGGTTTATGAGGAATATAATGGTGAAGCAGCTGAGCTTGGTTAAGGCAACGCGCCTCCATGAATTTCAGTATCCCGTGGAGGGGCAAGATACACTGTGTGCCAAGTTCTGAACTTCAGAGATTGCTTCTGCTGTGTTGTTTCATTACGGACACTTGACACAGAAACTCCAGAGGTTTCGAGGAGCTCGTTTACCTGATGGTATCAGTTTAGAGGATCTTTTTTAATAGTAATATAATTGCACGGAGATGTTCAGGTATTTGTGTGGAATAAAACTGTTTTTTTATTTTTATTTTCTTATTTGCATTTTAAGACTTTTGTATTGACACTGTTTTATTTTGGGGGGAAAAATAGATCAGTGCTCAGTGTTTTGTACCCTTCCAATAGGTAATGAACATTCGCAAAGTTCTAAATCGACTGGATAAACCAGAAGGCCTTTACCCCAACTATCTGAATCCCAGCAGTGGCCAGTGGGGCCAGCGTAAGTAGATCACTTCTTTGGTGCTGTGACCTGTCTACCAGCATGCTGTTTGCAGTTGTTAACATCTTTCATTCACTGTTATGTGGTTTTTGTATATAAAGAACTTTTATAAAATATAAAAACTCCCATTATATCTGAGGCTCAAGTCAATGTAAAAAATACTACAAAAATAAAAATAATAGTCCTACTTGCTGTATTTTAATGTACTTTTCTTTGATCTTTCAGTATGGCTTGTGCAAGTGGGGAAATGTCTGAATATGTATCATTTTGGAAAGGAGTTTGTAACCTACAGGCATCTTTTATTCAAAAATCTAAAGTGGTCTCTAAAAGTAGCTGTTTAAGGAAACATTATCAGCACATCTGAAACAAATTCCATATTTTTAGAGTGGTGTGGCTCCACTGAAAATAAAAAAACAAAACCCAAGTTAATACCAGCTGTGATTTCTGTTGAAGTTTAATGCCAGCAATTGAGGAAGCAAACTAAACAGAACCATGTCATGGCATTGATCCCCTTGGAACCATTACTGGAGACACCAAAATTAGAAGGGAAGGAGTATAATAAAATGCTTGAAGTATTTGAACTTCTTGGCCCCTTCCTGATGACAGAGCCTTCTCTTGTACATTGCCGTCTCTGACCTCCATAACATGTTCAAAGCCTTACATAGTGTGCAGGGTCATGGTTCTAGAGGCCCCACTTCTTTTCCACTTTTCCTACTTGGGTTCAGTCTATCACCATCCTATTTGTGTGATTTGGTGTTTTCGTGTTTTTTCTTTCCTACATTATTGAAAGAAAACAAGCAAGATACGCTGTCTTGGTCTGAAAAGGTACAGGCAGATGAGAAGGTCCTGTAGATTATCAGTGTTGGATCTGGTTAGACAGTACAAGAGAGGGAAAGGACTGAAAAAGTTTTTGAAGATAATAGTTTGTTTAGGATGCAGCTAAGGTGGAATTCAGGTTCTGGAGTCCTTATGGGACTTACCAGAGTCTAGAAAGATAAAATAATTTTCACAAAGGCAAAGAACAAGTGTTTTATTGAATAAAATATATTTTTGAATCCTTTCTGTCACTCAATTAAAAAGATGTCCAAAAAGGTTGTGCTGCTCAGTTACATTGTCCTATCAAGGCAAAAATCTGTTTCCCATTATGAATTAGAAGAATTCCCATCATTTTAGCAAGCTTCTAGTCTGCTCCACTGTGAGGCTTCCTGCAGGTTAGCATGTCACAAGGCCTGCGGCAGCTCAGCATGCATAACCATCAACTCCAGTTGGCATGGTGGTATAAACTCTGTCATCCATTTACAGATCTGAGAGATTTGTGCCCGTTTGTTACCCGTGTTGGTTTAGCACAGCTTTGTAAAACAGTAAAGCCCCCGGCTGGAAGTGTCAATCCTACAGCAACAGGCACTGGGTGTGGTTAGAAGGCCACCTCAGCATCTGTGAGCCGAGCCCAGTTACCTCCTTCCTCCAGCCACAGAAACTCAGCTTTTTGGTGAGCTGCATGAGAGCAGATACCTTTCTAGTGGCTGATGCCATTAGTGGCTCTGCCTTGCTTAAAGCACTCAAATGCTTACTCTGCCTTATGGCTTTTGCCATTTCCCTATTTTTAATATAATTGTGTCTTACGTATTCCTCGTTTACATTAAATGCGCCAGATTTTGTTGGTGTGTGCAGGAAAACTTAAGAGTTCATACGAGCTTTGCTTTCCAATAGCATGTAGTATTGAGAAAGAAATAGCTTCCTGCACATGCAAATGATGGACACAGATGTTGATGCAGGTTGGCCCCTAGCATGCTGAAGCAGCAAAACCAAATTTGATTTTGTTGCATCTCTTCCAATTCAGTTGCCTCCATTTGCAGACACTAATTTATTTTTTTTTTCCCCCACAGTAGAAGATCAGAATGTAAGACTTGAGAGATGTTTTATTTGAGATTGCTTTTCTAGGCTTTTCAGTTGATTGCAACAGGAAAAAAAAAAAAAGCCTAGACTCTTAACTGATACAAGACAGAAGTATTATCTCTCAGACATCAAGTGGGGAGGGAGGAATAGTTTCTGAACATTTCTGCTCTAGCAATGCTGTAACTGTGAAGGACACTGCTGGATCACTGCCATTGTTCCTGTAAATTCATTTAGCCCTTGTTATTTTGACAGTAAACTGACAGTGATTTGCTGCAGCGTGCGTCAATTGGATTTGTCTACTGCAATAATGTATATAATAACAGGGCTTATTATTGATGAAACTGTGCTTGTGCTATTTAGCGTGCAAATGTCAGAGGTTTCTATGGTAATTTATTTAGGAAACCGTAAAGGTCATTTAAATGCTGCTGTTCAAAGATCAGCCTTTGATCACAGAAAATGTTCTAATTTTTTTTAAGTAGCCTCCTTTCCTTTTGGATCATGAACATTTAATTAAATAAACGGTGTATTCTTTCCAGAAATGTAATATATCTCATTCAAAATTGAGGCAGGGAGGGGGGAAGCCGTTTATAACGCAGGTTTGATGGTACAGTGTATTTGTTAGGCAAAAGGATGGGATATGTTTGGAAAACTGAATTATTTTTTGTATGTCACAGGCTAGTGGAGGAAAAATACACTGTTAGTAAAGTTTGAATAGAAAAAAAGTGTATCTTCTACATTTGCATGGCTTTGCAACCTATTCAGAAGGTGAAAGGAGGCATTCCATAAAGAGAAGATACTAAGGAGTTGAAAAATAAATTCCCTGCGTTCTTTTGAATTCCACCAACAGAGGGATAACTGAAGCTAAGATCAGAGTTAGGTGTTGGGAAGTGTGAGCTCTGTACCACTATCCCTTTTGCATCTAGCATTATGAGCCTGGATTACTCCATGCGTGTTTGGCTTTTCTCATGCCCAGAATTTTGTGGTGTGGCTCACGGACATGCTGCATGATACATGTAACCACATCTCCATCCTGGATGCCTTGGGTGGGATTAGTGGACCCCTTCCTTATTTATAACTGTCAATTTTACAGTGCGTAGTCCTGGTAAAGCACTTTTAAATCCTTTCACTGAAGACCTGATAAATGCCAAATCCCTTAATGTTACCAGGCAGCACCAAGTGAAAAAGAAAACCTCTAGCCAGTGTTCTGAGTTTAATGGAGCTTAGAGAAATACTTTAAAGATAGACAGATAGAAAGAGATAGATTGAATTTAATGTGTTTAGGGGATCTATGCTGAAATCATGATAGCCCGTTAAAATTTTGCCCAGAATTTTTTAGGCTCCTGGACAGCAAGCAAGCGCAGCCTTGTGCAGGCAGCTGAGAGCATCGCTAGCTTTCACATCACTGGGGCAACTGACACGGAACGGTCTGACCTGTGCGATGTCAGTGTTTGCAGGGTCATGGCATAAACATGTGCAGTTGAATAATCACAGCATCTGTAGTACCAGATCATTTCGCACAGTAAGCGTAGGGCAGAATGAAACAGTGTGATAGTAATAATCATCTGTAGATGTGGCAAAGACTCTTTTTCCTTCCAGAACCACTGCTGAGTTTTGAGAGCAGCCAGATGTTCAAAATGTAGTATTATTTTTAAACATATGGGTTAGCATTTTGAAATGCCATTAAATAACCTAGAATTCAACTCTGCAGTAGGGAGCTAAAACATTTTGGCCTTTTTTATTAAGTGACTTAGAGTGTTTCCTACTTTTTTTCCTGGTTTTTTAATAAAAAATAACTTAGATTAACAGATTTTGTATGGGATAGACTACACAAATTAGATGCTAAACATATAAAATCTTGTTTCTTTGCCATGAACTCCTGTGACATGATATTAAATAACTATGGTGCTTTCGCTTGATGAAGAAGTTAGCAATTAAATAAGTCTCTGTATATAAGAGTTAGGTTTTTCCTAAGGTTCCAGGCTTACATTTATTAAATATTTTTGTAGGAAGAGATCATTAAATGCACTGTTTCAAACTGTAATTGTATTTTATTGCCCAGGCTGAAGATGAAATTGCTGTTCAATATCTTTCTTCCCTTTTAAGATCACGTCTCCATTGGAGGACTTGGGGATAGCTTTTACGAATATTTGCTCAAGGCATGGCTGATGTCGGACAAGACAGATGAAGAAGGCAAGAAAATGTATTATGATGCTGTTCAGGTAAATAAGATATTTAAATCTTCCTTTCCATAATAATATAATCTATAATAATTCTCAAGAGACAGACTCTGGGGACAATGTGAGAGATTTATGTTTTTGCCACCACAGTGTGGGTTTTTTTTTTCAAGAATTAGTTTCTCTTTTAAAAAAAACTCATTAAATATAAATGCTAGAGGAACACAGATACTGTGGGAAAGGGGAGAGTCTTGGAGTATAGCTATATTTTTTTTCCAACTGCAATACAGTCAGTTTTCTCTGATGCTGGAGGAGAAAAGTATAAAATACACAACAAAAAATGCATCTACAAGTAGCTCTCAGATAGAAGTTCAATTCTTTTTTCCTCAGTCTTCCGTAAACATACTCCTTTTGACCTTTTTCCTTATATCCAGGAGGGAGTTCCTTTCTTGTGTTTCAGTCTCATACTTCAGCCATTAGAGTATTTTGATTGTGGTCAACACGGGGATCAATATATTACGGTAGATAATTATAAATGAAAAAATAAGTTTTTGTTGCACAATGACTTTTTGTTTTAAGAGGCATACATTTGTCAGCTTCTGTGAAACAGCCAATTATTCAAATTGGACACGAGAAAGGTTTCAAAAATCAGAATTGTTCATACTTATATTTCTATGTGGTATGTTATTTGTGATCTTTCTGGTGTACCATTTGCTTTGTTATTGATGGTATTTCCTTAATATGCTGTTCTGGGAGAAATAATGGTTTTGTGAGACCAGATTGAGACTTGAAAAGTATTAAGTTCATATTTACAGGCTTTCTTTTCTAGTCTTGGGGAAATGACCTACTTTTCCAGTTCTTTGCTTTCATATATCTATATAAAAAAAACGGATAATACTACTACGATTTTCCCTGTCCTTTCATCTGTTTAGACTGGAAGCTCTCTAGGGTCAAGACTTTTATTAACTGTATGTATGTACAGTGCCTCTGTAGACAAGGCTTCGAGATGCTAAGCAATATCTGCTTATTCTTTCATAGATCTGGAAATGTGCTGTCCCTAGGGAAGGGACATAAGTGTCTTTTTACTTCCCGTACCACAGAAAGTGGTGACATTAAAAAAATAATACAACCCTGGCTCACTGCAACGATTTTTTTTTTTTTTTTTTTTTTTTTTTATTCTTAGAGAGACAAGTACTATGTGATGATTTGAGGGAGGGTGTGATCTCTGCTGGTAGTAAATTTGATGAGCAAGTATCCTCTGCTAAGAAAATCCTGCCTTTAATTTTGTAAGTGCAGATTTGGATGCAGTCGGCCTCATTTTCACCACTAACGTGGTTTCAGCTTCAGAGCAAAAGGTGGATTTTAAATTAGGTTTCAATGCATTTGAGGCTATAACATAAGAATAGTGATACCGTAATAGCTCAGCCATTAGGTTGGCAGCCAAAAAGAGAGAACAAAGTGTCTGATAATACAATATCAATTCATCTTACCATGGAAGGCATTCTGAAGCACCTCAAAGCTGCTTCTAGTCTTCTACTTCCACTGGTTTAATAACGTCAGGTTTTTCTTTTAAACACATTCTTACACAAGGTAAGCACCAGTGCATGAACGCGTGGTAAAAAAAACGTGCTTTGGCTCGTACAGCTATTCTGGGAACCACCGCAGGTAGGGTATGTTGTGTGACCATCACCCTTGTTGGCAGGACGACGAGCGCATTGCCTCCCGTCCTGCCGGGGAGCGGCGGGGGTGCGCTGATCCCGGCGGAGAACGGAGCATCCAAGGGGGGCTGGATGGCCAGCGCCGGGCTGCTCCGGCTCCGGCTGGAGGGTCACCTGCCCCTGACCTGAGCACAGCCGGAGTGAGGGACAGGGGGAAGCCTCTCTCGCCTTCCACCACGCGGGCGGGTGGGCCACCCCGTGTCACCTGCAGGGTGGCAGTGTGCCGGGGTCCCTCCTCAGCCAGCCCCAACTGCCCAGCGGGCAGAGAGCGACCTGCTCTTGGCCAGACGTGGGGGAAGAGGGCCAGGACCCCTCCGAGGTGTGTCCGGGCGGGGTGCAGCAAGTCAGCGTGACTTTGGTTAAGCTCCCACCTTAGCTACACCAGGATAACGATCTCCTCAGGTACAAAAGTCAGCGCGGGCATCCCGAGGTCCCAGGGGGGAGCAGAAGTGGTGATGGCCACCACACACCACACTGAGCAGCCGGTTTCTCCCCGCTCGGGGTTGAGTTGGGGGAGCAGGATTGACCGATCAGCAGCATCCCCGAAGGTGGCAATATCGATGACAGAGTCTGAGAGCTGCTGTGTATGATTAAAGTACCGATTATCTTAGTATTTTTTAGCAGTACTAGCTCTTAAGCAGTCCGAGCATTGTGTCTGTCCAGAGTATCAGTGTTGAGAGGGCCAAATGATCACTAAATATCTGCTAGCTTTCACCATGCTGCTGGTGGAGTGCTATTTCCAGTATTTTCTGAGTGATGGCATTCATGCTCTGTTTTCTGTACCAAGGTACATCTGTACCAAAGCTGAAAGTGTACATGCAGCATGTTGAGGTACAGCTTGATGCTCTAATGTAGCTTGTTCAGAAAACAGCGGGGAAGTTCCATTCTCAGAGAAGCTGCAGACTGTTTGGGCCCCATTGAGATGCCAGGTTCTTCACCGGAGTAACTAGCCTGTTTTGAAACCCATCCTGCTACTGGCTTTATTGCTATCGATCTCTTACTTATCTAAATTAAAGCTAATTTAAGTGTCTGCACAAGCTGCAGTCTTTCTTTATGACTAAGCCTACAGAGTTTGGGCATTCTGAGTCTGCTTCGTATTTTCTTAGATAAATTTCCCCTGACGGTTTCAGAATCATTTTAAGCCTACACCAAAGGGAACAGCATGATTATTCCTGGCCATTCGCTCCAGCACATACCCACCAAATTCTGAAAGAGCATGTGAAGGTTTGATGCCTAACTCAATATCTTCCGCTATCCAGAAACCACAAATGACCACAGTTCACTGTGAAAAGCTGAAATTTATTTAGTTAATGCTTTGGGGTTATTTCATGCATTGTTCTGTTACTCATATTGAAACCAAAGAGTTCTTTCTATTAGAATTTTTGTAGCACCTATAGATTGGTTTATGGCTTCAGTTAAAAGCAGTAACTAAGATGTCAAATTAGATTTAAAAACTTTTTCTGCTTGCCATGAATAAAAGGCATAGTGGACTAATGCCATTTAAAGAAAAGTTTATTTCTAATGGGAAAAGGGACAGAGATAGTCTTGTTTTGAATACCAGAACATGAGAGTATTTATAAAGCAATCAGAGGGATTTGTAAACTCTAGAATTAGCACAAAAAGACATGTGAATGTATTTTTAATATAAGTTATTTTTCTCTTTTGAAAAGCAATGCATACAATGTCCTGTTTCACATAATATGGGAAGTAAGAGATCTTCTTAAACTGGGTTGAAGATGACAAGAGGACTGGAGCACCTCCCCGATGAGGCCAGGCTGAGAGAGTTGGGGTTGTTCAGCCTGGAGAAGAGAAGGCTCTGGGGAGACCTTATAGTGGCCTGCCAGTGCTGAAAGGGGGGACAGGAAAGGTGGGGGGGGACTCTCTATCAGGGGGTGCAGGGATAGGACGAGGGGTAATGGTTTTAAACTGGAAGAGGGTAGATTTAGATTAGATAGAAGGCAGAAATTGTTCCCTGTGCGGGGGGTGAGGCGCTGGCCCAGGGTGCCCAGAGCAGCTGTGGCTGCCCCCTCCCTGGAAGGGTTCAAGGCCAGGTTGGACGGGGCTGGGAGCCCCCTGGGCTGGGGGAAGGGGGCCCTGCCCGGGGCAGGGGGGGTGGAACCAGATCACCTTTAAGGTCCCTTCCAACCCAAACCGTTCTGTGATTCTGTGGTTTCAATGGATAGCATGCAATATCTAGTTGCAGAACAAACGTGTGTTCAGCTTTTAGTCATATTTTGAGGATGTAACTGCCCATAGAATAATCTCTCTGTCTTTGTAAGTATCCAGGACAGGAACCATCCCACTCTTTTCAGTTAACACAGTTGATCTCTGAGACACAACTGAGTAAGTTTAGTAAGAGAACATGGTAATTTAGAACAAAAATGGACCTCATGGGTTCACTTATATCTAGTCTGGCAACAGCAGTTTCACAAGCAACTGCATCAAATCCTCCCCTCTTGAATGTGTCAGCCCTCATTTTCTAAGTTGAAGGGCAATTTTCCCACTACTGTTAATAGGTTGTCTCACGCTTAATATCTGATGATCAGATATCTTTCCCAAATTTTCCTATTACATTTATTTATGGTCATTGCTGCAAGCTTCCTGCATCTTAAATATTTCTTCTCTCTCTGACACAGCCTTCATCCCCTCCTCAGTGTATTTCTAGAGCAGTGGAGTATCTAAAGGCTGTAAAGAGAACAGTAACTTGGCTCACAAGAACTTCACAGGGAGAATCACTCGCCAGCACTTCCCAAGCAGCTCAGTTCTGCGCAGCCCGTGGTGGCCCTGTGGTACCAGAGAGGGAAAGTCACTGCAACCTGCAGTTTTAGCTTTAGACAGGGTAGTTTACTTTTAGACACTTAGATAGTTTAATTTTTCTTACTGGGTGACAACTGCTCAGAAGATTGTAACGAGAAAACTACTGATCTCCAGAGAACCTAGCACGTGGAAGTAGAAACAATGGAAATAGCAAAAAGAAGAGTAAGTGTTGTGAAGCAACGCCACAGCTGTTGTCTGCCAGATTTAAACACCGCTCCTGAAAGTCAGCCTGCTGCTAGAACTGGGGTCTGCCATTAAGGAATGCAGCAACCTTTCATGGGTATCAAAAGGCAAAAGTCATTTTTGGCCTCAGGATTTTGAGCATCGGACAGAAAATATATTAGGATCACTTGAGACTAACCCTGATATACTCAATTTTTACTCTGCCAGAGGAAGCTGTATGGTTTTGATTTTGGTTTGGGTTTGGTTTTTTTTTTTTTGCATATTCGTCAGCATTAAGTAGTGAATATTTTTCAGAGCTGTTGAGATTTCAGCCTTTCAGATAAATAA